TATATATATATACATATATATTCGATCAACAACTCTTCCAGTTTGAAATTCAGTGATTCCATTCTATTTCGTATTAAGAATACAGAGTATTGCTATGTTTTAAGATCGAGTCCAACAAATTTAATATGTATTCATTACACCTAATCCAATCAAATATTACAATGTAAGCGGATTTTCTGGTTGGAAAATAGAATTACAGAAATCTCTTGAGAGGATTACATTACGACGAATTTTACTTCGAGAGAGATAACATTAATTTTAAGCTGTTTATAACGTCTTGGTTTGATAGTTTAGAAATACATAAATAATATATCGTGCACTGAAATTTATTAAATATTAACTTTTTTATTTCGAACTTGAGGTATGTGAATTACGACAAGTCTAACGTTCGGACGTTCAACCTACTCGGTACTGTTTTTTTTCTTTTGGCGTAATGCCAATAGTGTGCATGATATAAAGATTCCGATCCTAGCTAGTTTGTAATCGTGAGTGTCAAATCATAAGCTACAGTTCTAGTCTGTCATACATTAATAACATTAACGGTACCAATTTTACTGCACCAGATGCGCATTTCGACAATCAATGTCTTTTCAATGATGTTCGAGGCCAACATATTTGAAAACTTATTCAAACATTGAAGCAGTTATGAAAGTAATATTAGATCATCAGTTCGATATTTATATATAGAGTTCTTCTCAATTTTATTCTATTGGATAAATCATTTTGTATACTTCAGTGAGCTAAACATTTTACGCATGTATATAAGTTTTCGTTCGTAAAAATAAAAACATGTGTTCTTAATATGGTTGAATTGCGTTAAAAGAGACACTGGTCTATTGTTGAAACCAGTATATTTATCTCTAATAAGGTAATTACTTATTTAAATTTATTTATGACACCGATTACTACCAGATGAATATGGTATTACAAGATTTACTTAAAATAAACCAAATTGGCACCACGTCGACGAGCAATTTAAGATTTGTGTATTTAATCCAAACCTTTCACATTCTCTATCTTATTAGCGGTTTTACATAAGGAATATATTGGAAATATGAAATATTATTTTAACGACACGTTTGCAACCGTGCTTTAATTCGCATGTTTGTAAGAAATTGACATATAAGATAAATATGAAGATATTTTTTATTATTCATTTGTTATACTCTACCTTTCATCCAGTTGTAAGTTGAGCGTGTGTCGCATTCATTACCATTTGATAAAAAATACAAAACAACAAAAGCATCAACAATTTCTTTGGTCACTGTTTCAAAAATATCAAATGATATATATAACACTTGTAATAGTTCATGGAAACATTTGATTTGGCAAATGACCGCACGTTCCTACAAAACAAGGCATCTTGTTTGAACATTATTTTAGCACTGTTCAAATTCTCTATTCTACATACATGTATAAACATTTATCGCCAATAATAGATTGAAAAAGAAATGTGAAACCTCTTTGTAGCAAAAGCTGTGATCTATAATTATTTGATTAATATTTTGACTTCATTTTGATCTCTAGAGTCGTTTCCAAAATGTCAACTCGATAGTTCTATAACTTGACAGGAGCACCATCCAACTTCTTAGTTTAATCTTGTTTCAAATAGACATTTATATAAGTGATAACCATATGATGCATCAAATCATATTTGTTTTTATGGTATTGTGTATTATATGATTTTCAATATAGAATCCTGATTCATGCATTGGAGATTTCTGGCACATTTCCTGATATCATTATAATACGTACAAAGTAAAATAACAAAAATACCGAACTCCAAGGAAAGTTCGAAACGGAAAGTCCCTTATCAAATGTCAAAATCAAAAGCCCAAACACATTAAACGAATGAAAATCAGTTGTCATATTCCTGACTTGGTACAGGCATTTCCTTATGTAGAAAATGGTTGATTAAACCTGGTTTTATAGCTAGCTAAACCTCTCACTTGTATAACAGTTGCATGAAATCCATTATATAGACAACAATGTGTGAACAAAACAAACAGACATACTCGGTAAAAATGTCAAGTATAGGGGTATAGCAGTCGACATTGTATTATAATCTTAATCACTATAAAAAAAAACAAATATGTCAACAAAGAAAAACAAAATGGCATATAGACAAAGCACATAAGCAAAAATGACCGACAGGAATTCAAAAAATGACCATAGCACAATAACACAATGGCGGTATGTATAAGTACCGAGCCACGCCAAAAATGGACTAAACAGTAAAGGTTAATTATATACAAAGGCAAATAAATAGAGAATATTATATGGCTTTTTAAATATCACATCCGTATCAACCCGAGACACCAATATAATCCCGAGAGCTCTGATATGGTGTGTGGTATTGAAAAAGCCATATCATATATACTTTATTATATATCCAAAGCAGATGTTTTTTTTTTTCATGTGACGTGACCTTTGCAATGGTGACTGATGTCGATGACGTGACGTCATACAGATTAAGGATGTGATAGAGCCTATGCATCCGTGAGTGATATCGATATCATAACGGATGGCTGATACAGCACGATTGCCATTGCTCGTATTACATATACAATTTACATGTATTCACTACTAAGTATATAATAAAAGAAAACTATAATACGTAATAAAGATGATAAACAACGTCATAGAACATATACTTCAAGAGCGTATCATGTATTATTTGGGAAGTTGATACGTAATATTTATCAACAAGCTCTTTGTATCTTTCGATGAATTTTTTTTTAGAAAAAGTATGAGACGTTCTGTGACATAACCCTGGTTCATCAACTTTCTGCTCAGACACTGGTGACGTTTTATAAAGTCTGAGTAGTAGCTGCAAGCTCTGGAGTTGGGAAATGTATTTCCCATATGCAGGTGAAGTTGGTATATTGCTACTAAGGTGGGGGAAATTTGGTAATTTCAAAATTTAAATCGCCTCGTTTGTCGTAGATTCTGGTACTGAGATGACCGCTTATGTCAAATTCGAGGTATAAGTCTAAAAATGAGACGGAGGAAGCCGTGTCTGTTGTTTATTGTTTGAATGAATCAAACGACTCAATGGTTTATTTACGGATCCAAAACATATTTTGTATTCCTGGACATAATGTGAAGCTCTTAATGCTGGTTCTGTTCGTCTGTTTCGGCGATTTGGTTGGCATTCTGATCCAGTAGAGTTTCTGTTTTGGGCAACACAAATCAACATTATTAGTTAGAATGTGCATTTGATGCAGCAATATGAGTACAAATCGTTTAATGGGTATTCTGAAATAAATATAACACCTCCTGGCAATATCTATGGTTTTATTTTCTAAATGCCTCTTGAGATACTAATTTCGTGCACATTACCATTAAGTTAGATCAAATATGTTTCTGTCCTTTCGAAGGTCTTAACGAGATATGGCCCGAGAACAGTTATTTCGTAGTGCATTTCTTTTAGACAATAAATTCAAATTAAAACAATCGCACCTGCTCTATCTCAAAAAGATTTTGACAGTGTAGTGTACTACTATTGGGACAAATCATATCAAAATTATAGAAAAATCTACCAGCTCTAACTCAAAATATGGACAATTCTATGTTAAGGGGGTCTGCAATTCAGTTTGACAGCTTCAGACATACTAATTTTTGACCTTTTTTAACTGGACCAAATCACTACTTTCCATAAAAATTCACCACACAAAAGTTTTTAACATGTAATTTCATCCCATGGTTTCGCCGTCATCCCTGTGGTACCTTCAAATTGGAGTAATTGAACAAGCAAAAGTCAACGATCAACCTTAAACCTTAAACCTTCGTTTACAGCGTTCATTTCAGTCTCTTGGCTAGAAGCATCCTACTACCTCACATTTTCCAATTCCCACACGCATGAGTTGTTTTACAACAATACTTAGAATTGTGACCATTCAGTTAGCATAATTCATACGAATTTAAGCTGAATTGACCTTAAGTTGTATTTTATTTTTACATTCGAATTTCGGGCAGATATTTTTTTTCTTTGGATTCATATTAAACAAAATATGTGCATAAAAAAGTATTAAAAAAAACGAACTCCAAGGAAAATTTGAAAATGGAAAGTCCATAAAAACTGACAATATCAAACGTTAGACTTATCAACCAACGGAACGAATGGAAAACAATTGTCATACTCCTGACTTGGTAAAGGTATTTTCCGAAGAAAATGTTGGATTAAACCTGGTTTATAGCTATCTCAACCTCCCACTTGTATGACATGTCCTTAATGTTCCGTTATACTGACAAATTGGGTGAGGTAACGAAAACAGACGAACATGGGACGACATCAAGTTTTACGAACCTCTTGTAGAATCGAAGCTATAAATCATTAAAATAACATCCATTGTATCCAGTATTTAGTAACATAACAAAGCTAAGGCGGACGGGTTTTTATAAATCATTGGTTAAGAGACCTCCGTGATGAAATGATTTGGTGGTATTATTTTGCACGTGATATCATCAACCCACATTTCTCATCAATCATAGTCAAAGTGATATTGTGTAACTACACTATTTTTATACTAACGTACAGATTAATTTCGGTCATATTGTATTTGACTGTACAATATATTGAGTTTGTATAAAGAAAAGTCACCTGTTATAAACGTACTTTGTACTACTTGATTAATGGCAATATTATTGGGGTGTTTCCTTAAGGAAAAAATATAATATAATGAAAAGAAAAGAAAATTAAATAAGCCAATTGCCTGCCTCTTGAGAACTCAGATGATGGCATATACAAAAGTCAACAGTAAAAGTTCTCAAAATTTCGTTTATTTTTCTACGTGTTGACAATGTAATAAAATACTTTTTAAAAATCAAACCGTCTAATTATGGTTCATATTAAATTTCATCGCAATCTGAATACAATCCATGGTTGTGTTTGGATGGATTTATCTATAAACGTGACTACTGAAGGTAAATGAAACTGGTTTTCCTGTCGATTAAGATTCTAATTAAATTCTACCTGTAGTACTGTGTTGTATTTACATGATTTAAGCATTTTAATGATTTAAACGTTGTTCAAATAAAACACTTACGGGGTTCAGTCACACTAATTAAGTCGACAAATACAAGTTCGTTTTTTTTTCACACGGAATACATGATTGGTAAATTGCTTTTTGAAAACAAAAATCAATTAATAGTTTTTCATTAATATCGAAGCGCAGCTACTTGAAATACAGACCAACTGTTTAATGTGGATTAGACAGAGCGAAGATTAGCATCAACATAGTGTAAGTTACAACAAATTAAAATACAACAAAAGTTGAAAGTCTAAACCACACTGTTATGTGAACTTTATAAGGATGTTTAGTAATTGGAAACATTATTAATGTTGATACAAATTAATTGATTTTTTTCAAGTTGGTGATTAGAAGAACAATGCGTATAGTATGGGGATTAATGGGAAATCAGTATTAGAGATGTGTTAACAAAACCAGCCTCGGAGGAATTTTCTTGTATCTGTGAAAAATGAGTATCGATTAACGAAGTACCGTTAGCTGACAGAAGCAATGTCCAAAGCCATCGTTCACAACAGAAGTTACTTGTAAAAGTCAATGTTTGAAATTTTATATGGTCAAAAATATATACGTTTACGACTATCGTGTTGTCTGGATCAACTTGACTTGGAACTTTTAAAACAATAAGTATTCGTTAAAATACCCGGTAGAATAAATGTCTGGTTGAATTATACTTGATTTATCGAACTAAGTGGACAGTTATCAATCTTACCAATACTACAGAGAACTGTTAGTATTAGAATATATTACACTTTTTAAACAAGTTTGGTACGGTATTTACTTTTTATGTAAAGTGTTTACGATGGACTTTCACTTTAAAAGATACCAGCTTGCTTGAATTGTCAATATTGAAACTATGGAGTTATACTATTTGTTAGTTCAGAGATCATTTTTATGGACAGTTCAGCTTCTTATAATTTTCCTGATTTCTACTGAAGGTATGTATTTCAAAACAATGTTTATTTTTAATTTTAAAGCTTATTCAGGAAGTAATTGATGTCTTTAACATTCATAAACTGAAACGATTATGTACGAAATTCAATTATCAGACACAATGAACAAATGAGTTATCTCTACTATTTGTTATTAGATATGTTGTTATCAATTAAACGGCAACAGTGTACATCATGCATTAGGAAATGTAAAACTTGATATCGTCTATAACAAAATTTAATCTATTACAAGATTTAAACTTTGATCTCCGACGAGCCTTTTAAATTTCTTGTATGTGCACAACTTCATTCACAAAATCCATTAATACTTTAATATAAATATAATGCAATGAATAAGTTTTGGTTGATCAATTATATATATGTAATTGAAATATGATGGCCTAAATTTTGACTGATTAAAAAATTACCTCGAAACATTTTTCATGTTTTCTGATATTTTCATAGAAAAAGAAATGATTTAACGGAATGAATTCTTGTAAAGGGCCTTTACTATGATCAATATATACTATTAGCTTCGTGTAGAATTTAATCCTATTATCGTCAATATTTTAGCCACCAGTATATTATTTATTAGTTTTATAGCAGCTAGAATTATTAAATTGTTTATCTTAAGTTTATACATTGAACGAGATACTGTAATTGCTACAAAAAATACACTTCAGATGTATTACCATCTTGAAAATTTCATTAACGGCCAATGTGGTCTCGTAGTTGCATGCACAACTCGATTTCAAGAGGGACGATGGGTATGGATTAGATCCAATGATGGCTATAACCAAATATTTGATGTTTTTTCCGAAAAGCGCACATCATTTCAGAAAGAGAGCAAGAAAAGGTCGACTCCATTTGAGGTTGCTACTAACAAAATTACGAGTTAACGTGTCTGTTTAAAACAACGAAAGCTATCTTCTTAAAATAACATAAAACCGTCCTGTAGACACATGTAATACTTGGTGCTGGACGTTTGTTAGCAGCCATAAACAATAAATCTCATAAAATGAAATGTATCAGTTATTTAAGAAATAATTCATGGGGGCTTGTCATAAAGGGCCAACCCGTGGTAAAATCACGATATATTCAAGCCCCCATGAATTATTTCGATTCTAATAGGACAAATATTGCAATTGTTTGGAGTCGAAGCGCTCTAGATGAAGGCATTATTTGCCGTTCCCATAAATAAACGCACTATTAAATTGACGTAAAAGACCGGAGCAAACTGAATAAATGACATGCTTAAACTATTTACAATAACATATTTAGATAGGTTTGGATAAATCTAAATGGTAATTGTACTTATATGTATACAAAAAATGGCTTATATAACACATTTTAGCATCGTTTGTTTACATTTCCTTGTTGTGATGATTTTCGGTTTCACAAGCGTGTATTTTCCCGTAAAATGCTTATATTCTTACGTCATCGTTCTATGACGTCGGGTAGCTCATTCATAAAAAAACATATGACGCGGGAGTACGATCGGAACAGCCCAAACAATATATTCATATTTTACCATGGGTGTGTACTCAAAGCGTTTGAAGAACGTCATGTTAGAATTAGTAATAATATACGTAGGTTGTATATTTATACGAATACAAACCTGTTGTACAACTGTGAATATTTTGTGAATGAAGAATTTTAAGCACAACTTAAAAAAAAAACACTCTTAATGTAGTCCCAAAGGAGGAAGAGGGTGTAAAAATATTGTCACTTTTTGTCTTCTTTCTACAAGCAGTTATACCCTTGATAACGTTGGGGGTCCGTGTGGCTGTATAAATTCGCAGCCACGTCGTCCAGTCTAAATGAGGAAGTTAAATCTGTTGCATCAACACTATAAGAAGCGGCCTTGCAACAATTCTTTGAGGGGTCCGTAGGTAGCTTGTTCGACGCTAAATTTCTATCCTTTCTCAATTTACCCCATTTTTCAGTGGCATTCGAAATTTCCCGCTTTTCAACCAGGTCGACACCCTATTGCAGGACTTACCTGTTTCATTGTTTGTTAATTTGTACTTGTCCTGAAGATGCATTAAATATTTGCCATTGGACGTTATGCATACAGCAGTCAATCAATCCATGATTGTTGGTAATGTTTATTCTTCAAGTCATCATACTTGGCGTGTTTGAATAAAGGTGAAATCCATTTACTGTACCAAGGATTTAGGCCTGGAGACATAATTGCGAGGAAAATTGGCACAATAATTGATACTTACATGGTACATTACATAACAAGTGATAGTTCCAGTCTCGCCTTAAATCAGAGCCCTTAAAGATACAGCATCTAACTTCTTTCGTTTTAACCAATAAAAGGGCACGAAACTAATCATTGTTCAATCTTACAAACTATTAGAGAAAAGTATATGGTTCATATCTTTGTATAAAATTCATATAACTGACAGTTGACGTTATTGAATACAACAGTAAAAGACTATGTTAACAGTGTAATATGAATGCCTTCAGAATAGAAAAAAAATGTCCCCACTGCATAGCCAAGTTTAGCCGATCTATCCGTCTGTCCGTTGTCATTGTTTCCGATTTGTTTTATTGTTCAAATCGGTTAAACCTGTTGTCGCATTTAATCACTTTTTAATGTTGTTCCATGCATACATGTCAGACTGGTATCGACGTCAAATCGGTGTCCGATCCAACGTCACAGTCTTAAATCAATATCCAAATTTCTTATCCTCTAATCGATTCTCAATGTATCGTTGGATTAAAGTTCGTTCGGATTTTACTCTAATCTACAACCCAAAAAATACTTTACCATTAATCCACAGATTATTCTTTTTTAAATAGAATACACGACAAACAACAAACGCTTAGTTGATTTTTGAAAAAAGAAAACTGTAAGATGAAGGAAACACCCAATTATCAAAGAAGCAACCAAATAGTTTAAAGGACAAGTATTGTTTAAATGACAATCACTGAACACAAATGAATGGACATATTGGTTTATTAATTGGCTTGTGTATCGTCCAATGGCAAATATTTCAAATTAACTACATTGTAATACATTTGGTAGGTTCCGTGGGATAGGTCAACCAGTTTGAAGGGCGAAAAAATTACTGTCACCGGAAAATGGGGGTATGTTGGACAGGGTCACACAACAGACTCGTTCCCATTCTGGCTGGACGTTGCTGTGTATTTATACATCCCGCACAGCAAAACGAACGCCCCGCTTTAACAAGGAAGTTACTGCCGGAAGAGAAAATTTCGAGGATGACCATACTTATATACCCCAGTCAACCCATTTAGACCCCTCTAACAAGAAATTTGTTTTGCATGCACACGTATAAAAATTGCGGTTTTTATCCAACGCATTCATAGGTTTGAACGTTGTTTTCAATTTAGACTTGTTTGTATATATATATATATATATTATATATAGAAGTCTATAAAAAGGACCAACCAGCAAATTTACTATGTACCGGATCGTCTAGAAATATGTTGGCATTCAAGGAGTTGTTTTTCTAATTTGCCCATAAATATGTTGGCATTCAAGGAGTTGTTTTTCTAATTTGCCCATAAATATGTTGGCATTCAAGGAGTTGTTTTCTAATTTGCCCATAAATATGTTGGCATTCAAGGAGTTGTTTTTCTAATTTGCCCATAAATATGTTGGCATTCAAGGAGTTGTTTTTCTAATTTGCCCGTAATGTTGAAAGAAACCTAGAAAAATGTGGATTTTGATACAATCGATCCGTAAAATTATTTTTTATTCTTATTTTATTACGTTGTTACTATGAATTCTGATGTCCAGGATTTTGGATTAAATCAATAGACCAAAACTTACCTGCATTATTGAGCTATTTTTATACATATAATCAGTATTGTTAAAATAATTGACACTGAAGAAGGCTATTTGTTAAGCCGAAATATTTGTCAACACGATTTATTAACAACATCTTCGTATAATACCATCTTATATTAGTGCAAATCTCTAGACTTATATATATATATGTATATTTCTTCGTAGAGGGGTCTAAATACAACACAAACAACATTTTCCAAAAGACCAAAAAAGTGAAAAAGTATATTTTAACAAAACGCATTTGACTTACAGGTCGAACAACAAATGTTCTTAAACCCTGCTGACTGCCATTGGCGATTGCCAAATAAACGGATCACCGATGTAAAAAATGTATCTTAATTATGAATTTAATACTTAACAGAAAACAATAACCTTGCGGAAAAGATGGTATATATAATCGTGTAGAAAATTATTTCTCCGTAATGTTGAAAGAAACCTAGAAAAATGTGGATTTTGATACAATCGATCCGTAAAATTATTTTTTATTCTTATTTTATTACGTTGTTACTATGAATTCTGATGCAATCAAAATTACTATGGTAATAACTACACAATGTATCGCAAAAAAAATAATTTACCAAAAACTGCATGAAATAACTTATTCACACTGATGTATTCAACGAAAACATAAATTTCGTATTAGTTGTATCTATACGAAACAAGTCAAGGCCTATATCGTTCCTGGGCACTATCATTAAGGAACTCCCGAGACGAAAGAGTCCAATTACAAATTACGTTTTAATTTTAATGAAATCACGTGTGATATCTCGCGTGATAGAATTTTGTATTTCACACTAAAATATTTACATATAATAATAATAAATTATTTTATTAAAGTGTCACGTATTGATTAACCGTTGAGCAATATCCCTAAAAAATACATTAAGATATTTACTATAAAAGAGACCACCGTATCGCCTTTCGTTTGATTAAGTGTTCGATTTTTTTTGTGGACCGGCAATTTCTTGTCTCTTGTCTGATTTATGCTTTCCCTGGTGATATTATATTTCACAGATTTCATCAGTGTATGTCTTAGTAACACGATACATTCATATAATCTCTATACATAACGATTCCCTAAAAGACGTTTAATATACTAGACTAAGAATCTATTGGTTCCTTAATAGGCGTTAAAAATATCGAGGATCCAATTTAAAGATGCTTTATTTTTACCAAAGTA